GACGTTTGGTTAATTGTCTTTTAGTGATTCTTGTTAACATTCAAAAAATTTTTAGCAACTTCTACAAAAAAAAGCATCTGTTTTTTTAGGACTTTTACTTTTAAGTTTATTTTTTTTTTATGATTTTGTCGTATTTAAATGTTGTGCATTTTAATGACGACCGATTACAACCGATGTTAATTAGATGGTGGTACTCTGACGACCATGAAGAGCACAAATACGTTTTGTTCAAAGTCAGTGAATGAATGACAGCATCATCGATCATTTTGATAGCAAAAAAAAAAAATGCTTATGTGTTCCGAAAAGATAAACAAAGAAAAAAGATTGAAAACTTGAAATAAATAAAATCTGAAATTTTTTTTTTACTTATGTTACTGTTTTAAAAACTGTAAAAATTTCAACAAATTTTTTGAGGACCATATTTCATCTGTTGTTTCATCAATACAATAATATACAGTTGCATTTCTTTTTTTTTGCTTGAGAACAACTGTTCTGTTGTAGTGAAGATAAAATTGGTTGGTAAGCATAAACTAATCGCTTTTCTTAGACTGCTAATCGGGTAGTCGATTAGATCAGTAACACTAAAAAAATTTCTTGAGTAGTCTTATTGAATGCTGAAACTAATACATCAAAAAAAAAATTAATTAAAAAACTTATCTAAGGTTGAAAAGAAAACTGCAACTATAATCTGCTGTTTTAGGTAATCTTATTAGTATCTGTTAACAATAAGATAAAAAAAAAAAAATCAATTTTGTCAATAAAGTTTTCCACCTTTTTCTAAAAAAAAAAAAAACTGCAGCTGACAGATCAGAATACCCTATACATTGCAGTTTTTATTCTTCAATTTTCTGAGGTAATTTTTTGGAAATCACTGTACAGTTTCAAATTTCTAACAACTTTAGTGTAATCTTATTCAACACTATCAACATAACTATAAACCGGGCTTGTTATATACGGTGAAAAGTTTAAAGTTTGTTCTAATCATTGTCTACGAAGAAGAAGATTTTTAATAAACAAAAATCTTTTTTTAAGTGAAAAACAGAAAAAGAAAAATTGAATATTTTTTTTTTTTTTATTTTCATTTCACTAATTGATATTTCTAATTGCAAAAGTAACGTTTAAAAACTACTCAATTGCTAAATTCATCATATGACTCAATTTTTCATTTCTATTCGTTCTATAGACTATCAACTAATTACTCTCTCATTCACTTGCAAAAAATAAATAAGTAAATAAATAAAAAAATAAAAAGATGCTTTAATGTATGCAAATTTATTGAGTAAGCATTTTGTATTACCTATTTTCTTGTCTTTTTTTTTTTTTTGAACATCTGTCTTTTAGTGTAAAGTTTTTTCATTAGCCGCTTTCTTAATACTCAAACTTATCGTGCTAAATTCTTGCACTAAAATTTTTATGACTTTTTTCTCTCATTACTTAACTGCAGTAATTTGCCTTATTTTTGTTTTATTTTTTCAGATACACAGGTCAAGAGAAATGCACTTAAAAATCTGTTAAACAAATCTGAAAAATTGTTATAGAAAATAACTACTAAAAAAAGCTTTTTTTTTTTTTTTTTTTGTCTACAAAAAAGAAGCGACAGAATTTCAAAAAAAAAAAAATACAAAAAGTTCTCGACAATTTTATCTTTGAATATCTCAGTACAATTCAAAAACAAATCAGTTTTCCTTTTTTTTCTTTTTTTTATATATATAAAAATTTAGAAAACTTTCTAATTTACAGTGCATACAAACAAAGTTTTTTTACCGCAGTCATCGAAAAGCAAATTTCACCGTAACCGCAGACGTTACAGTTTGCTGTATGTAACTCAATTTTGCAAAACACTTAAACAGCAGTTTTTTCCTTCCTTTTTTTTTTTTTTTTTTTTTTTTTTTT